TTTGTTAGGCTGAAGAAGTTTCTTTTTATCTGTTTTAATCTTTTTAGCCAGAGGCTGTTCCAGCAAGCCCTCCCTCTTCATCCCACCACAGTTTTTGCTGCTTTTCTGGCTAAGCCTCTCTGTTTCCCTTTTAACAAGTTCTGTCTTCAAATCATTCCTCTGCCCCCTCATTTGGCTATAGGCAGTTAAGAGCAGCCATGCAACAGCCTCAACGCTTTGCTGCTTTGAAATCGCCTCTGCCAGACAAACTAGTTCATCATCTTGAAGTTCAGCCTTCCACAGTGTCTCAGGACAAGGACACAAAGAAGCCAAACTCTTAGCCACAATGTAACAAGGATGGCCTTCACTCCAGTTCCCAAGAGAAGTCTCCTTTCCATCAGAAGCCTCCTCTGCACAGACTTCAATGTCCACAATCCTGTTAGCATTCTGCTCTTTTGAGCCCTCACCTGAACTGTCTGCAGTACAATGCATATAACCGTCCAAGCTTTCTCTGGCCCGTTCCTCCAAACTCTCCCATTCTCTCCTGGTTAGCCAATTCCAAAAGCTCCTCCATATCTTTACGTATTGTAGTAGGGGCCACATTCTTTATAAAGAGAAAAGGTCTACTTACAATTTCTGAGGTTAGAAATCCAAAATGTATGGCACAGGTACTGGCGATCACAGTCCTGTGGCTGGAGTCCTCATGTATCTCTGTATGTGAGTCTCTCTCCCTTTCCTTATAAAGCCACCAGGATTATAGAAGCCCTATCCTAATGACTTAATCTAATCTCACTCTCTGAGGTCTCACCTTTGGAGTAAGACACATTCCACCCTCTTAATACCATTAGCATAACACTAAGGATTAACCACCTGCATGAGTTCAAGGGACAGTCACCATACATACATAGTTGCTATCCAAAACTATTAAATGGAAATGAGTAATTTTTGTTTGGATCTATTATTACTGTTGTTGTATTTTATTAGTTTTTAATCTCTTACTATGTGTAATTCATTCATTAAATTTCCTCAGAGATTTGTTTATAAAGAAAAATAAAACAGTATATACCAGGTGTGGTGATGCACGCCTTTAATCCCAGTACTTGGGATGCAGAGGCAGGCGGATCTCTATGAGTTTGAGTTCAGCCTGCTACATAGAGTTCCACACCAACCAGAGCTACATAGTAAGACCCAGACTGAAAAAGAAAAGGGAAAAGGGGGGAAAAAAAAAAAAAAACCAAGAAACAGAATATATAGGAGCAGGTGTACGATCAGAGGTTTCAAGGATCCACGGGGTGGGGGGAATACCATAGCACCTGTGGGTATTTAACAGTTGGCATTTGGCCAGACAGGTGCCACCACACCTTTAATCCCAGCACATGGGAGGCAGAGGCAGGTGAATCTCTGTAAAATTGAGACCAGCCTCATCTACATAACAAGTTCTAAACCAGCTGGGGCAAAAGGAGATCCTGTCTCAAAAAAGAAAAAACAGAGTTGGTGTTTGAAGTGAGATCTACCCTACTCTTAAACCTGTTCTCTTGTGTGTTCTACCTCTGTGTGTATGTCCTTTCTAGTTAAACAGGAATTTTGTTTTTGTAGTACTGAGATGAACCCAGGACCTTGGACACACTAAGCAAACACTAACACTGAGCTACTGAGCTACATCCTCAGCCCAAACAGGAAACATTTTTTAAAATATTTTATTAGGGGGCTGGAGAGACGGCTCAGCGGTTAAGAACACTGGCTGTTCTTGCAGAAGACCCTGGTTCGAATCCCAGCACCCACATGGCAGCTAACAACTGTCCCTAACTCCAGTTCCAGGGGATCCAACAGCCTCTTCTGACCTCCGCGGGCATTGCACAACACAGGTGCACTTACCTACATGCAGGCAATACAGGCATACACATAAAAAAATAATAATAAATGAAATATTAAAAAATATATATTTTATTATTTTTATTTTTATGTGTATGAATGTTATGCCTGCATGTAAGTAAGTACACCCGTGTCATGCAATGCCATGTGGAGGACAGAAGAGGCTGTCGGATCCCCTGGAACTGGAGTTACAGACAGTTGTTAGCTGCCATGTTGGCACTGGGATTTGAACCCAGGTCCAGGTCTTCTGCAAGAACAGTCAGTGTTCTTAACTGCTGAGCCATCTCTCCAGCCCCCCAAACAGGAAACATTTTAAATGAAGTCTAAATCTTTTTTATAAGGAGAGCATCCCAGCTACTGATCTATAAAGTGATTCAATGCTTGAATCCCAATCCTTTACCCACACCATATAGGCATGGTAATCCTCTGCTGTGTAGGTCAATAGCTTTCTTAGTGTTGGTTTGGGTTGTTTTATTTTGTCTTGTGGTGTTTTGTTTTGAGACAGGGCCTCACTCTATAGCCCATCCTGGCTTAGACCTGTGTAGCCCAGATTGGCAAACTCCTGGTGATCTTCCTGCCTCATCCTCCTAAGTGTTCAGATTATCGGCATGTGCTGCCATGCCCAACTCTCTTAATTCACAAAGATATTAAACTTGTGCTTAACCAGACCTCCATAATCAAATTTCTTTCTTTTGAAAATATAAACCCAGACTACAACTAAATACATATTTTTTTTTTTAAAAAAAAAAAAAACAGCTGCTGAATATGTCCAGAGAACTGAGTGACCTGAAGAGGAACCTGAAGGAGGCCACTGCAGCTATCGCCACAGACCCACTTTACATAGAGGGAGCCTGGTCAGAGCCAACCTTCACATCCACTGAGGCAGCCATTCAGTCCATGCTGGAGTGCCTGAAGAACAACGAGCTTGGCAAAGCACTACGGCAGATCAGGGAGTGCAGGTTGCTGTACTGTTCCTTTCCAGGGTGGTTATAGGAAACACACTCCACCACAACTGGAATGTCTAGACACATTGTATAGCTCTTCTTAGATTTATTTACCTGTAGTACAAGAAGCTCTCAGACCTTGCATGGACAAGTATTAGTGTTGATTCCAAATGTTGAAACACTTCAGAACATACCCTCATATAATTGTACACCAATCTGAACATACATTTGGGGGATTTTCTACAGCTCTCTGTCTCTCTCTCTCTCTCTCTCTCTCTCTCTCTCTCTCTCTCTCTCTCGGTCTTTTTGAGACAGGATCTCCCTGTAGCCCCAGCTGTCCTGGAACTCACTATGTAGACCAGGCTGGCCTCGAACTCAGAGATCCACCTGCCTCTGCCTCTCAAGTGCTGGGATTAAGGCGTGCGCCACCACGCCCAGCAATTTTCTACAGTTTTCCATCTTCACATTCATTGGAACAAAATGGCTATAGCAAATAAGAGTATCAGATTCAGGGCTGGAGAGATGGCTCAGTGGTCCAGAGTACCGGCCGCTCCTACAGAGAACAGAGTTCAGTCCCCAGCATCCATATGACTTACACGCACATAAGTTCACACACAGGCAGACATACACAATTTTTTCAAAATTAATTTTTTAATGTTTCAGATTCATTCTGGTATTTTTATCAACAATAATACCCAACATTCTAAAGCTGACTATAGTGATATTTGCACAACTCAAAATATACCAAAACCCAAGGAATTGTGTATGAGAATAAAAGGGATTTTTTTTTTTTTTAGTATATTTTTATACTAACCAAGACTTAAAACCTTCCATCTTTGTGACCAATGGTGCCTCTAATCTGTGTTATTCTTTCTTGACTGCAGAAGCCTGTGGCCTAACGACATCTTTGGAAGCAGTTCTGATGATGAGGTCCAGACACTACTGAATATTTATTTCCGTCACCAAACTCTGGGACAGACGGGTACTTATGCCCTGGTGGGGTCTAACCAGAGCCTTACCGAAATCTGCACCAAACTGATGGAGCTGAACATGGAGATCCGGGACATGATCCGCAGGGCCCAGAGCTACCGGGTCCTCACTGCCTTTCTCCCAGACTCCAGTGTTTCTGGCACTAGTCTCTGACAGAAGCCTCGCGTCCCCCATGGTTTCCAAGCTGGCAGTGCTGCCATGCTGGGGCGACGTCATTCAGTGTCTTCTCAGCCTTCACAAGGCTTGGACAGACTGTTCTCCCTCTTGTTACCTGTAGGACTTTTTCTAAAGAAGATGACAGAACTTCCAATGTGTAGCAATACTCTCCAAACCAAGGTGGCATAGGACCTCCTGAGACAGAGCCTACCCATCATGCTGTGTGGCATACGTGTGCTATCTTTCACTGAACAAATGCAATTCACTACTGAAGCGACTTCCATTGCATACCAAAGCCGACAACACTGAACAATACCTTCCTTTCTAGAAACAGTTTTAGATTGGCAGAAGTGCAATGTTTTCTTCACACACAAAAAAAATTTATATTCTAAAACTTGTACATTCGTTCCCTTTCTCCTTTTTTTCCTTCCTTTATATTTTGTGGGGTTTTTGTTTCTTTTTTTAGTAGGTTGAAAAGGGGGCAGGCAGAATGAAGCTGGCCAGTGGAAAGCTGTAAAACGGTCAAAAGCTGACAGCCTGTGTGCTTGAAAGGGAATTGTAAATGGACTAAAATTTAATGACACTGTTATTTGAATACAATTACTGTATCTAAAAGGAGCTGCTATGAGGTACCTTTCTTATGTTGCTAGGCTACTGTTTCTGAAGACCCTGGATCTCTTTGCACCAGAGATGATCCAGATGGACTCTTTTTAAGGATCTTGGCTGCTTTTTACTAGAAGGTTGCTTTTATGAGCATATTTATACTACAGAAGGATGTGTTAATTTTAATTAACTTTGCCATTTTGTAGAAAAAAATTATTCACATAAATTCTAAGTCTTTTCACCTGTCATGCATGAACATTTAATATCCATTTGGATATTGAGAAATAGTCATAAAGGTAAAATATGAGTTGCCACTTTAAAAATAATGTCATATTTTATTTGTAATATATGTAAAGGACCATTCTTAAGTTTCTTCCTTAAACCCAATCCTGTCAAGTGTTAGATGTGTGCATGTGAATCTGTTGCACATCAAAAACATATTCAAAGTTTATCTATGTAACTTATTCACTCTGTAAATACATTTAAAGTTTTTGTGATGTAATCTTGATACTCTGTTCAGGACTTCCTTTAGACTAAAAAAGAAAGAAAAATACACGTTGATCATGGATTTTATTTCTAGTTAATTAAAATATTTGCCTTTGACACTTTTGTAGTTTTGCATACGGTTGTCACCATAACAACTCCAAGGCATACCATTCACATGTATTCTATGAATGGCACCCTTTGGGGTTTTGCAGTACATAGCCCCTGAATCTACATGTAAGTTCAATGTCTGTGCACATGGGCACCAAAATAATGTAATTTTCAACCAGTTATCTTTTACCAACCAAAGAGAAAAATGAGAGCTGGTCATGGTAGCTCACACCCATAATTCCAGTGCTTGGTGGGATGGAGGGTATCAAGGACAACTGTAGGAATTACAGGCCATCCAGGACTACAGAGAAAGACCCTGTCTCGAAAAGAAGGGAGGGAGGGAGGGAAGGAGGGAGGATGGAGAGGGGAGGAAAGGAGAATATAGAAAATGGGAGAAAAGATCAGAATGAGAGCTATAATTTTTTCATTGGGTTGGCATCCTTAGAATCAAGAAATAGACTGTCATGAACAGGAAATAGGACTTTTCTTTTTGTCCTTGACACCTACACGTACTCTACTCAAAAATAAGGGACACAGAGACACAAAAATCTACTTTGTACAATGTTCCTACTGGTATTTATTGGGACTAACAAATATAACTTGTTTTACTAGTGCACAACTACTAGATCATTATCTAGGAGTATTCTGTAGGAGGAAATGTGACCCAAAGATAGATTGGTTGTTATACCACAGATTTTTTTAAGTATTTTTATTTTATTTATGTGTATATATGTGTGTCTGTGTGTTTGTATGCTATGTGGAGGCCAGAAGAGGGTATCAGATCCCCTGAAGCCAGAGTTATAGGCAGTTGGAAGCTCCCTGGTATGGGTACTGGGAATCAAACTCTGGTCCTTTGGAAGAACATCAAGTACTTTTAATCACTGGGCCAGCCCACCACAGATTCTAACTACTTATAATTTTTTTTTTTCCTTTTTGAGACATGGTCTCCCTGTAGCCCTAGCTGTCCGGGAACTTGTAGACCAGGCTGCCCCTGAACTCACAGACATCCACCTGCCTCTGCCTCCCCCTCCCAAGTACTGAGATTAAAGGCATGAGCCACCACACCCGTGTAAAGTTGTTTTTAAACCAAACCTTTTGTTTGTTTTGAGAGATTGTCAGGTAACACAGACTGGCTTTGAACTCTGTGTAACTGAAGATGACCTTGAACTCCTGATCCTTCTGCCTCTACCTCCCAGATTCTGGGATTACAAGAATACACCAGCAGCTAGACTTTGGAAACTTGTTCTTTTAATACATTATTTTTTTTCAACTAAAAGATGATTTGTTGTGATTTGTAGAAAACTACCTGTGATCACTCTGAAAATACAGGTTTCTATGTGTAACCACAGAAAAATCCACTCTCAGAGAATTTTATAGTGAGCCCAGTAGAAAAGACTGATTGCTCAGAGCTGAATTTTCCACCATGACCTCTTATGTAACAAAGAACCACCAGGATGGCTTTCCTTTTAAAGAATGAAAGAATGTCAACAGTTTACTGCAATCTGGCACATTAGGCTGTAATTGTAGGAAATGGTGGAGTTTGTCCCTTTATCCTTAATTTTACTTTGAAAGCAAGCTTTGTTAACGTGAGTGAACTTTTCAACTTTTTTCTTCTATCTTCTCTGCCTCTTTACTGGGTAGAGGTGGGAAAAATTGTGCAGGAGGTGTCGGGGAGTGAGTCCAGCTGAGCCTAATAGTCACAAGATCCACCAGTCAGACCTCCTTAGCTGTCATCCTGTGCCTCTGTGTCTAAAGCATTGTTTTGTGTATGTTTTCTCAAAGGCTCAAGAGAGCTACAAGTACCAAGAGAAGGTAGAAGTACTATCTTAGATCTCAGCACTGTCGCGAGCCGGGACTCTGTCCAGCAGAGTCCAGGAAAGACGACACAGACACCAAGGTGAGGTTCAAGCTTCTGTTTCTCTTTCTTCCTTTATTCTCTCTTATTCTCTCTCATATTACTATTACACACTTCAGCTCTTTATATAGCGTTTCCAACAGCCCTCCCCCCAGCCGGTACCAATCAGGGCTCACACACGTGCAGCGGCCAGGCAGAGTGTAGCTCATAGGCACGTAGCAAGATCATCAGGCTGGCAGCACCTGTTTGGCCTCTCCATACTTTGGAGTAAGCAAGCGGGAATCACGAGCCTTGGCAATCAGCCAAGAGTTGGAGTAAACAGCACGAGGTTTGGCAGCCAGCCAGGGCGCCATCTGGCTGACTCAGCTGTGCTCGCTTCCCACACAGCACTTTTTTTTTTTTCTTTTGTCTTTTTGAGACAGGGTCTCCCTTTAGCTCCAGCTGGCCTAGAACTCATGCAGACCAGGCTGGCCTTGAACTCAGAGCAATCCATCAGCCTCTACCTCCCAAGTGCTGGGACTAAAGGTGTGTGCCACCATGCCTGGCATCAGTGCTCTTCTAAAGCCAAAATCTGATAGACTTTTTATTCTTTCGCATAGTAAAGCAACCAACGTAGGCCATATTGACTACAACTTGATTAAAGTGTACTCTACAAACGCAATGCTTTTTCAAAAGCACCATACATCTTAGAACCATGTCTTCTACCCCTGTGAGAATGTTAAAATGTGCTAGAGCAGAGCTGTAAACTAAAGATGTTGTGCTGGGCATGATAGTGCACACTCAGGAAGCTGAGGCTAGAGGATCTCTGTGAGTTCAAGGCCAACCTGAGCTATACAGTGAATTCCACAGAAGGGACGGAGACAGAGCCTGAACACTCTGTGTTGAGGGCTCAGAGATGAAAGCAAGGTATAGAAAGTTTGTAGGGCAGAATAGCAAGGAGAGAGCTACACAGAGGGTGCTGCAGAGATTGGCAGAGTGCCCTGGGTTTTTCAGTTGGGAATTCATCAGTTATGCTTGTGAGGAAACCACTCTGGGCAGGGCAACCCCCCCACAAAGACTGGAAGGAACAATTGCAAGAGTTCTTCTTCAACCAGAGTAATGCTATTTATAATCAAAGTAGAAAACCTACCTGTAACTCACAGGGCATCAGGCGGAGTAAGCAGAAATGTCTTTAAGAGCGAGGGTCAGGGATGCCTCAGCAGTTAAGAGCACTAGCTGCTCTTTGCAGAGGACCTGGGTTCAGTTCCCAATACCGACATGGCAGCTAACAACTGGCTGAAACTCCAAGTTCCAGGGGATCTAAAGTTCTGACCTCCACAAGCATTGCCCAACACAGGTACACTTATATACATGAAGGCAATACACTCATACACATAGAAAAATAAAAATTTAAAATAGTTTAAAAAATCCACCCCCCAAAGAAAGCTTACAGCTGCTCCCAGGTACCTGACCAAACATAAAATTTGTGCTTTTAGGACCTCCACAAGCATTGCCCAACACAGGTACACTTATATACATGAAGGCAATATACTCATACACATAGAAAAATAAAAATAAATAAAAATTTAAAATAGTTTAAAAAATCCACCCCCCAAAGAAAGCTTACAGCTGCTCCCAGGTACCTGACCAAACATAAAATTTGTGCTTTTAGGTGAACTTTGTGGTATATTAATTATACCTCAGTAAAACTAATTTTTTTTTTTTTGGTCTTTTTGAGACAGAGTCTCCCTATAGCCCCAGCTGTCCTGGAACTCACTATGTAGGCCAGGCTGGCCTTGAACTCACAGAGATTGGCCTGCCTCTGCCTCCAAGTGCTGGGATTAAAGGCATGTACCACCATGCCCAGCCCAGTAAAATTTTTAAATTTTTCTATGCATTACTTTGGATCAGTAAACATTTGAATATATATCATTAGTGGAGATAATTTCTTCATTTCACAAATACTTCCTGCATGACCATTCATTGAGGTGCTATCCTGGGGAGACTACAGCTGTCCAAACAGATGTGCTCACTCTCATGCATATCTGAGCAGAGATGATATACTTGCCTATGTCAGGTAGTGTAAGAACAGACAGTAAGCTGTTTCAGGAAAGGTGCCAGAGAAGACCTTTCTGAGAAGGTGATATCTGAATGAAATGAGGATACAGCGTGGATGTCATATCTGGAAGAAAGAGAAGCTCAGCAGAAAAGCACAAGGATCCTGCAACAGGAGCCAGGTCACTTCATTAAAGGGGCATCAAGAGAGCCAGCAGTCAGAGTGAAAGTTAATTGAAAGTACCCAGAGGGGAGGCAGGAAGTGGTCCATGAAACAAGGGGAGGGCATGGTCCCTCACAAGGCGGGACGAAAGCCTCTGGACGTTTCTGGACAGAGCAGTGACATGTTTTGACCTGTTTTAAAAGGATCGATCTACTTAGAATGGTGAAAAACTTTGTAGTTAGTGGTAGTTACACAACATTATGAATATACATAATGCCATTGAGTTATGTGCTCAAAATTATCAATTTTGTTACATATATTGGCCATGATAAACATAATTTTTAAAAGGATCACTCTTAGCTGATGTGCACAGAATGGATTATAGATGGGCAGAAGTCAATATTAGGAGTCAAATACAACTGGGCAGTCCACAAGTGATGGTGGCTTGAGTTAGGGCAGGAACCATGGAGCCCAGTATTTTCTGGGCATATTTCAAAAGTAGAGCTGCAGGACTTGCTGATGGCATGAGAGACTTCACAGACTAGCCTAAATCACTGAAAGAATTGGGTTGCTATTTATGGGATGAGGAACTACATGTTTAGGAAATATAAGCAAGATTTAATTTCAGACATGTTAGCTTTGAGGTGTTACTAAACATCAAAGACAAGATAGTGAGTGAATAGGCAGATATTTGAGTCTAGTGGAGAGTCTGACCTAAGGACATGCAGGCTTTATTTAGTGGGAAAAACTACCATACATGTCTGTTTAAGCAACAAACAGACCTGGGCAAGAGATCCGTAAGAATTAGGGCAGGCTGGGCATGGTCGCGCAGGTGGTGCACACCTTTAGTCCCAGCACTTGGGGGCAGAGGCAGGCAGATCTCTGTGAATTCAAGGCCAGCCTGGTCTACGTTGTGAGTTCCAGGCCAGCTGAAGCTACAGGGAGACCCTGTCTTTAAAAAAAAAAAAAATCAGGGCAGGCAATGGATCTGAATCCTTAGCTACACATTAACTGGGAAACTTAGGGCACCAATGCTGGGCTCCACTCCAGAGACAGACCAAATTGGTTTCAAGTTCAGTACTATTTAAAGCACCACATCTGATTCTAATCACCAGCTAAGACAAGCACTGCTTTACTGGTGCTCAAATTTAAGACTCACCTTAGGGTGCTTTGTCAAAATGCAGATTCAGGGCTGGAGAGATAGCTCAGCAGATAAAGTACTTGCCACAAAAGCATGAGGATCAGACTTCAGATCCCTAGAATCCATGTAAAAAGCCAGGTAGTGTCAGGCATGGTGGCACACACCTTTAATCCTAGCACTCAGGAGGCAGAGGCAGGCAGATCTCTGTGAGGTCTAGGCCAGTCTGTTCTACTTAGTGAGTTCCAGGCCAGTTGGGGCTACAGGGACTGGAAAGATGGCCGAGTACATTGTTGAGAGCTCTTGCTGCTATTTCAGAGGATCCAAGTTCAGTTCTGAGCGCCCGTGTCTGGTAGTTTACAAACACCTGTTACTCCAGCTCCAGGAGGATCTGACACCTCTGGCCTCCACAGGCACCTACTTGCACATGTACATTCATATACATACACGTAATTAAACATAAAGTGGATCTTTTTAAAAAATAGGGCTGAAGAGATGGCTCAGCAGTTAAGAGCACTGGCAGTTCTTGCAGAGGACACAGGTTCAAATTCCTGTCCACACAGCAGCTAACAACTGTTGGTAACTCCAGTTCCAGGGGATCTGACGCCCTCTTCTGACCTCCAAGGGTATTGCACAACACAAATGCACTTCCATACAGGCAAGCAATACACACATACACATAAAATATTAAAAAAATAATAAATCAGGATGGTCAAGGAAGCTGCCTGTAAACTCATTATGGGAGGCAAAGACAACATCCCCACAGCAAGCTGGGATTACAGGTGTGAGCCACCATACCCAGCTCTGTAGATCCTTCAATACTGTCTGTGAATCTACTTGCCATAGACTTGCTAGAACTCTAGCAATTAGAGAACAAAGAAATTCTCCCTGTTCCCCTCCTCTCTTTCCAGACCTCTCTTCTTTATGTCTGTTTCAGAAAGCCCAGAGCTAAAGATTGGTGCCACCCAGTTGTATTAGCAACCCACCCTCAACCCCATTACTGCTGTTCCGTAGCACTGGTTGTGAGCCTCTGCTGTGTTAGAACTACCAGAGAAGCTTGCTAAAAATTTTGAGTTCCAGGCCACACCCCACCTTTACAATACCCTGCCATGGGTAATTTATACTCCTTCTTGGGTGATTTTAATTTGCAGACCTCTTGTTCACGTCCTCCAATCTTATCTATCATTACCTTCTCCATCTCAAAGTCTGATATCTTTTCAGGGACTTCAATACCCTTATAGATAACTCATATAACAGCTTCTTCCTCTTGGCTTTTTAACATCCTTACCTCCAGGCATTTTTGTTGTGGAGCATTTTGTTTTTTTTTTTTTTTTTTTTTTTTTTTCATTTTGGCTTTTTTTGAGACACGGTCTCGCTATGTATCCCTGGCTGGCCTAGAACTCGTTCTGGAGATCAGGCTGGCCTCAAACTCACAGAGATTCACCTGCCTCTGCCTCTGCTTCTGCCCCTCTGCCCCTTGCCCCTCTGCCCTGCCCCCCTGCCCCTGCCACTGGAGTGCTAGGGCTAAAGGCATGCAGCACCTCACCCAGCTCTCCAGCTCTGTCACCTAATTTCATGGCTGTATCAACAGTGGTATGGGAGACTGGGCTCCTGAATCTCACTCTGTAACATCTCACTCAAGATCCCATTTCCCTTGACTCCAATCAATTCTCAGGCTGCCATAAGTTTCCATCCTACCATTCCACTAAACTCCATGTTACCAAAGCTGCCTTTATCTTTCTCTTCTTCTTACTTGAAATTCTTTCTCATCTAGACTTTCATCACACCTTCTTATGCCTCTTGACCTCTTCTTTTATCTCACCTCTCAGTTCTGTTATTCACAGTGCTGGTGGGGAGGGGCACCAGCAGCAAAGAGACCGTCTGGGAGCTTGGTAGACTTACATCTCAGACCCCAGAACTACCTACTGAATTAGAACCTTTACCCAAGCTCACCAATGACTACTGGAATATGAAAGTTTTAGAATTATTGGTATAAAATATTATACCCCAGGATTCCATGGTATACTTTCTCCTAGGTGAGCACATTCTGGCTCATGACCCAAATACTATCAATTTTTTGTCTCTATTCCATATGTGTGTGTGTGTGTATGTGTCTGTGTGTGTGTTTGTGTGTGTGTTTAAATACACACCATTTTTTTTATTTTTTGGACTTTCTGAGACACCATAGCCCAGCTGGCTTGGAACTTGCTATGTAGACCAGGCTGCCCTCAATCTTACAGAGATCCACCTGCTTCCATCTCCTAGTGCTGGAATTAAGGCATATGCCACCTCACCTGGTCCATCCTTTTACTTTGACCTTTACTCTCACTGTTCCCTTAAATCAAACCCATTTTCTCTTAGCTCCCTTCATCTTGCAGGACTTAATCCTCATGTGTCTCCTCCAAGCCTCTCTAAAGAGGTTTTTCTATTATAGTCCCATTTTTCCTGGGACTGTTTCATGTGTCACAATCTGAATTTGAGAGAAAAATATAAACATTATAGTTACAAGCAGAGAACAAGTCCCAGTCTACCTAAGTTCAAATCCTAGCTTAAACCCATGACCTCTCTGCCTCCATCTTCTCACCTATAAAAACAGTTTTTAATATGGCTTATGTGAGCTGGATGTGGTAAAACACACTGTGCTGCCTAAATCTGGTAGAAGCAGGAGGATCATCCTCAACTACATAGTGAGTTGGAGGGCAGCTAGGGTAACATGAGGCCTCATCTGAAAACAAAATGAAATGCCACTGTAGTAAGTTACAACAATGTCTGGCACATGGTAAGTAGAATTTCAGCATCTGAGATAATTGTGTACAGTGGAAGCAAGGACCTCACCCCCGTGATTATCCCTATAGTCCCAGTCATAATACCCAGCTCATACATTTGGCACATGAATGAACTTTTTTCTTCTTCATTAGTCCTTTCAGTATCTACCATTTCCCAGTGTACTGTTGCTGATTTTACCCTGAAATTACCCATCAATGTGTTTCATGGTCTAGTTCATATGCATTTATTTTATTCTATTTCCATCATACAATTGTTATACAACCTACAAAAAGTACAAAAGCTTAGGCCATTTTCTATTGCTAAGTCAGAGCCAAGTTGAAAAAAGAAAGATAATACAGTAAGTTATACAAATTCATAAGGCACACGACCTGTCATAGGATGTATTTAAAGCTGTAAATATTTCCACAGGAGAATTTCTTGTCTTTGCAGCGACCACAGAGTTCCTGTCGATGAGGCCTCCTTAGATCAATGTGTCTTTTCTTTTGAGGACAGGAACAACAAGATTTTGAGCAAATCTTTAGGAAGCAAGGAACGGTTTGGACAGTAGATGATCAAATTAGTATTTCAAGTGTAATCCTCAAATCAAAATATTTCTTCCTACTCCCCTTTCCCTGGACAGCTTCATCTTCCTTTGAATCCTATTAGAAGCCTATGAACAGTTGTAGAAAACCACTTATTCTTTTCAAAATGAATGATCATATAAGATGCTCAAGAGACTATTTCAATGTCAAGCAAGACAAAAATATAGTTGAGAGCTTTTTTTTTTTTCGGTCTTTTTGAGACAGGGTCTGCCTGTAGTCTCGGCTGGCCTGGAACTTGCTATGTAGATCAGGCTGGCCTGGAACTCAGAGATCCACCTGGCTCTGCCTCCAAGTTCTGGGAATAAAGGTGGCCACCATGCCCAGCCAGTTAAGAGAGCTTTTTAGAGTGTCCTTCTGTTTACTTGTATATATTTGTAGCCAGTGGGATGAGAGGCAGTGGGTATCATTTAATTAAAAGTCATGAGCACAATCATCTTAACCAGAGTTAATTCCACTGCCCAGGGAACATGCTGGCAATGATTGGACATATTTTGAGTTGTTACAACTAGAAAGGAAAGGTATTCTAGGGGAAGCTAAATTCTTTTCTTCACAGAGATACTCAATCTTTACTAATATTTAAAGCAGTGCCTTTCAATCATTATCTCATCCTATGGGACTGGCACGCTCCCACCTTCCTGTCACTGCTAACTTTTGATAATCACTGCTCTATTTTCCACATATTTCCAGGAGTCACACAGAATACACGATTTACCTTCTTAGATCATGAAAAACTGGTATTTTAATTTTCCAAACAGGAGCCTCAAATATGACTTATACAATATTCACATCCTCGGCCTGGTGTGGCCGCACACGCCTTTAGTCCTAGCACTCAGGAGGCAGAGGCAGATGGATCTCTGTGAGTTCAAGGCCAGCCTGGTCTACATAGTGAGTTCCAGGACAGTTGGAGCTACAGGGAGACCCTGTCTCAAAAAGACCAAAAAAAAAAAAAAAAAAAAAACCAATACTCACATCCTCTACTCTCTCACTGAGGAATGTTCTTTCCTTACAAATGAATTCTAATAGCCAATACGTTGTAAGTTAATTCACTGAGGTGGTATCACAATACTTTCTTAAGAAAGAAAAGGTTGAGCTGAGAGATGGCTCTGTGGTTAAGAGCACTGGCTGTTCTTGCAGAGGACCAGGGTTCAGTTCCCAGCACCCACATGGTATCTATCAACCATTTGTAACTCCATTTCCAGGGGATCTGACACCCTCTTTTGGCCTCCACAAGCATTACATGCACATGGTGCACATACATACATGCAGGTAAAACACTCACTCATAAAATAAAAGCAAAAATAAATAATTTTTTAATGAAAGAAAATGCCAAATATAATAAGGGTTCATTTTGAAGATAGATTTCTGCTTCTCACTATAGAAGATTAGGTAATTTGGGCCAAGCTTCCTGGGAACAACTGAACCAAAAATAATTGGTTAAAGGCAACACAGCATTGCCAAAGCATTAAAGAAGAAAACACAGAAACATAAGTAAACCTGACATTTGAGACTGTTTTTTTGTTTTGTTTTGATGTTTTTGAGACAGGGTCTCCCTGTAGCCCCAGCTGTCCTGGACCTCACTATATAGACCAGGCTGGCCTTGAACTCACAGAGATCTGCCTGCCTCTGCCTCCCAAATGCTGGGATTAAAGGCATGAGCCACCACACCCAGCTGAGACTAGTCTTTGAAAAGAAAAAAGTAAAGCATAAAGGTGTGTCTGCTACAAGTAGTTTTATATTCTCTGCCCTAAACTGAAAGGATTTAAAGGGCAATTAAGATCTCATCATCTAATTCTGCAATTTATTAAACATTGGAGATACCTTACAATCTAGCACAGGTCTAATCCTATCAGTCTAACCTTGGGAAGTTATTTGAACTTACTGAGTCTAGTATTGAATCAATGATCTGTAAAATAGAGATAATAACTATTATAAAGGTGAAGCTACAGGAGATGCTGCATGGAAAGACCAGTCAGAGTTAGACAAGAGTTTAACAAATGGATGAGGCTAAAGGATATACTAGACTGAATGATCCCCAGTCAGCAGCTCAGGTTTGGTGTTGGGACCTCAAAGGCTACACCTGAAGACCAAGGATAGAACAAACCCAAACCTGTCTTCACAGATTTGATGCTCAGTTTCAAAAGTAGATCAACCATTGAATGTGGCACACCTTTAATACCAGCACTCAGGAGACAGAGACAGGTGAATCTATAAGATAGAGAGGCCAGCCTGGTCTACATAGCAAGGTCCACACAAGCTGGGGCTACATGAAAAAAAAAAAAAAAAAAAAAAAAAAAAAAAAAAAAAAAAAAGATCAACTATGATTGGAAAATAGGAATGACCTAAAATTGATAGTGTGTCTACCAACCTCTTATAAGCAAACATAAATCCTCTCTGGAAGAAGATACTACACTAAGCTACAAATTATCACTACAGTTTGTCATTTACAAAACCAGCACTCACAGAAAAATTACTAGCTATACAAGAAGACAGAACAGAAGACTTGAAAACCAAGAGGATAGCAACAGACCCACAAGAGATTAAGTTAATGGAGTTATCTGACACAGCTTTTAAAATAACTATACCTGCTGAGCATGGTAGCTCACACCTGCTATCCAGCATTTGGGAGGCTGAGGCAAGAAGATTATCACAAATTCAAGGACAATTGGGGATACATAATGAGTTCTAGGTCAGTTTGGGTTACAGTGTGAGACCCTGTCTCAAAATAAATGAATAGGAGCTGGACAGATGGCACAGCAGTTAAGAGTACTTGTTACTCCTGTAGAGGACCTGGATTCAACTCATAGCATCTACATGGAGGTTCACAACCACCTCTAACTACAGTTCCAAGTGACCTGACACCCTCTTCTGGCCTCTGTGGGATCCTGCATGTACCTGGTACACATACAGTCACACAGGCAAACACATATAAAACAAATACATCTTTAAAAAATAATGAATAGGGGCTGGAGATGCTCAGCAGTTAAGAGCACTGGCTGCTCTGGCAGAAGACCCAGGTTCAATTCCTAGCACCCGCATGGCAGCTAACAACCATCTGTAACTTCAGTTCCAGGAGATCTGATGCCCCCTTCTGACCTGGGAGGGCACTGCATGACACAGGTTCACGTACATGCAGGCAATACACTCATACATGTAAAACAAAAATAAATTTAAAAAAATTTTAAATGAATAACTATGCTTAATATGTTCAAGGAAATGAAATTAATATTTCCAACAATGGTCTAGAAGTTATTGTTAAGTAAAAATTCTAGAAGAGAAAATTCTAGTAATTCAGCTGATGAGATCAGCAACGAATTTGAATTTGTGATCATCCTGACTCAGCCTTCCAAGTTGGTGGGACTACTGGCCTGTGCCACCAAGTTCTCTGATAAGCTAGTTGTTTTTGTTTTCTTTTTTGAGCAGAACACATGTAAATTTATTTTTTAAAATGTGAAAAAGAACTCCCAAGCAAAGAGTTTCAAGACAGAAATACCTTAGGATTTTAAAATAGTGTTCATTTTACTAACTAGGAAACTAATGTATTTACAAGTGAAGGATTTGGTTAAAAACAAATGTCTCAGACCGGGCGTGGTGGCACACGCCTTTAATCCCAGCACTTGGGAGGCAAAGGCAGGCAGATCTTTGTGAGTTTGAGGCCAGCCTGGTCTACATAGTGAGTTCCAGGTCAGCTGGAGCTACAGGGAGACCCTGTCTCAAAAAGACAAAAAAAAAACCCCAAAAAACAAAACCAAACTTCTTGGGATGAGGTTGTAGCTCGGGGGAAGAGTGCTTGCCTAGCATGCATAAGACCCTGTTCAATCTCAGTATGCCCACAACTCACAAAAACCTTGACTACAAAAATCATTTATGTTACATTTTCTAGTAAAACTTAGACAGTTTTTCTTTAAGCTGTTTTAAACTCCCCCTCCCAAACTCAGCAAAAAATTTATTAGGAAGTTCAGATCTCATTGAAATCATTGACTTTCTAAACACTGAAGATGCCATAAATCCATTCACAGATTTAGTCCTAGAAATCTAACCTCTGGCAAGCTATTTCACCTTATTGAACTCAGCCTTCTGACAAGTGGAAACACCTGTCACAAAGGCTCAGTCATAGATGATACAAGTAAAATAGCCCGGGGCTGGAGAGATGTCTCAGTGGTTAAGAGCACTGACTGCTCTTGTAGAGGACCCAGGTTCGTATTCCCAGCACCCACACAGGCTACGATCTCTGCAGCATTGCACGACACGGGTGCACTCACATACACGCAGGCAATACACTCATACGCATAAAAAATAAATAAATAAAATATTTTAAAAAAAACAAGTAAAATAGCCCATAGTAAAAATATAATGGTTACACATTAAATAACTACATTCTCAGTACACTCAGGAGAAACACATACACCATACTTAAACACACCACATAAGGCAACTTTTTGTTTTGTTTTGTTTGGTTTGGTTGTTTGTTTTCCAAGATAGAGCATCAAGTAGCCCAGACTAGCCTTGAACTCCTAATCCTCCTGCCTTAGCTTCCCAGTATTTAGATTACAGGTCTGAGCCATCATGCCTATATAACATATGGTAACTTAAAATGCTGGATATTCCCTGTATTTCTAAAAGTAAAAAATAAAATAAAATAATAGAATTTATTCTTTTATTTTTCTTTTCCTAAAATAATTCTAAAATTTCAAACATAAGATAAACCTAACACTCTTACACCAAGTTCCAATTCTAGAAGACCCAGACACTTTATCAGACACTTTGTCAAAGGCTTCATGTCAATAAACTCAACTAACAATAAAAGCATTCCATGTACTTACCTGACACTGGATTGCTTCTACCCGGTAGGGATTAAAACTCTTTTGGCACTTGCAACAGAGTTGTTTGAAATAAACCTAAAGAGAAATTTGTCTTTTTAATAAAAGCTGATATATTCATACATCTCCTAGCCTCTCAGTTACTTTTTAAAATTTATTTTGTGTAAATGAGTGTTTTGCCTGCATGTATGCAAGTGTACCACTTGTATGCAATGCTCTCAGAGGCCAGAAGAGGGCACTGGATCCCCTGGAATTGGAGTTACGGACAGTTAGCCACCATGTGGCTCACATCCAACCTAGGTCCTCTGCAACAGCAGCCAGTGCTCTTACTCCTGAGACATCTCTCCAGTTTTAGCTCCCAGATTTTTTTGTGTGTCGTATTGTTTTATTTTGTTTTGAGACAGGGTCTCCCCTGTAGCCCCAGCTGGCCTGGAACTTGCTGTATAGACCAGGCTGGCCTTGATATCCAGAGATCTGCCTGCTTCTGCCTCCTGAGTGCTGGGATTGAAGGCGAGTGCCATCATGCCAGGCTTCAGTTCTTAACTGAATTCATTCACTGACTTTGTACTTTGTATGTGCCCTGTACCCTTGAGGTTTTAAGCTCTGCTAGTTCTATCAGTCACTTTTACTTTCCTTACCTGCAAAATTGAGAAAGCACTACTTTCACTCAATAGCAGACATAACCACAATAGACACCCAATGGGAAGTGGCTGTTATTAGTTTTATTCAGTGAATGAACAAAATCTTTCTCCTTTTGTCCCAGTCTATTAACTCTGAAAAGTTGACTTTTCCACTTGAACTTAGTTACTTGTAGCTATATTACCACGTGCTTTCTAAACCTCATACATTGTCCTGTGTACAGTTTTCTCCCTGATTTACCTGGCAAACTTTTATTTCTTTAAGGTCCTGTTTGGACATCATGATACAGCCCATCAAGCAGACTAATCCCTCTGCTTCTATGTCATTTCTGCACTACTTCCACATCCTTGGGACCATTGCATGTATCACCATACTGTACTTTTGTCTACACTCCTATCATAATACATTTTACTGTTGTTATTGTGTGAGAAAGGAGTTTCTTTATAGAGCTCCTGTATAGCAGGAGGGGCTTGCCCTTATTTTGTTTTGTATTTTTTGAGCTAGGGTCTCATGCTGCCCAGACTGCCTCATATTCATTAGGTAGCCCAGGCTGGCCTTGAACACCTTATCCATCTGCCTCTACTTCCTAAGTGTAGAGATTACAGGCATGTACCACCACCACATTCAGCTTCAGGATATATTTTTTGAACTGAGTTCTCTTATCTTGTTTTTTGTACCTTGTAAGGTCTGAATTAAACCCATAAGTTTTCTTCTGGAAAGAGATGGGAGGTGATTTTAACCTAGTTTATAAAACCCAGTCGGGTGTGCCAGCACATATCTCTAATCCCAATAGCACTCAGGAGACTGAAACAAGAGGATAAGAAAAATTCAACACCAGCTTTAACAACATAGCAAGTTTGTAGCCAGCCTGTGTTACTTGAGATCCTATCTCAAACAACAACAATAAAACAATAAACAAATGAATGAAATAAAAGGTCCTGCCATCCTCTGAGCTGGATGCCTTGCCCAGTTGGTGAACAGTGAACAGACCAAGTCGAACACTGTGGAGAGATGGCTGTCCTGCTACTAAAGGCACAGATGTGGATGACATTTTTTAGGAGAGGTAAAAATGATATACAGTATTCATTCAGATACGAAATTCTCAAAATAAATTAAAATTTTTAGGTATGGGGTAACTGACTGCTTTCTGGTTTGATGTCAGGCCCTCTCTACAGGAAGGAATTCATATCTGGTACTGTAAACCTGATCAAAGGCCCATGGCTGGGGAAGTCATAGGCCCTAGTAGGCACACTATTGCTGTTGTTGTTTTGGTAAATAGACATGATATCCCCACCAAAGTGCCTTCTCAATAACTATATTTATGTCTATATAATAGTGTTGCTGTCAGCTCTGTCCAAAGAAACTTCTTTTTTTTACAGTGGGTGGTGGCAACCACAGAGACTCATTATTTGCCAAAGTGATGAGAATAAGTGACTATAGAAATCTCAGTCACAAACAGACATCTGCATCACCCCCTCCAAGGCTCAGAGAACAAAGAGAAGAGGGAGCAGAAAGAATGTAAGAGCAAGAGAAAGGAGGAGAGTGTTGTGGTGCGCTGCCTCCTAAGCATGACATGGCTATTGCATTCTTAAACTTGCAGCAGCTATGATTCTCTGACAAGACCTACACAAGACTGAGCCCATCAACATCCTGTCATTGGAGTGGAGATGGGTTCATAAGGCCTCATCCATCACTGAGGATCTCAGGCAGTTAATGGTTGATGGGAAAGTGAAAGATTTTCTTCAGTGATGCAGCCACTGATGAGGTACCCACATCCCTGTTCCCATAAGCCATCCAATGAAACTCACTGAATCTCTCTCTCTCTCTCTCTCTCTCTCTCTCTCTCTCTCTCACACACACACACACACACACACACACACACACACAAAGACATGAAAGTAGAAGGGAAGTCTAGTTGGGAAAGGGAAGGGGACCAGCAGTCAGTGGGAATAAGAGAGGGACAAGAAAGGTAATGGAAGTAAAGTGAATACAATCCCAATACATTAAATACACATACGAAGATGTCATAATGAAACATATTGTGTATAATATGTGCTAAAAGGCATAAAAGAGAAAGTAAACAAAATCTACTGTTGACAACATATCCACAATGTCTATTGTACATTAAAAAATGACTTCGAGACAGGCCTGGTGGCCCATGCCAGTAATCCCAGGACTTGGGAAGTGGAGGCAGGAGGATCATAAATTCAAGGTAATCCTCAGCTGCACAGCAAACCTGAGACCAGCATGGGCTACATGAGTAAAGGAAAGAAAAAAGGGCTAGGTTTGCAAAGGCTTGGGGAAAAATCGACTATATTGAAAGTAGTTAATAGGCACTGATAGGAAAGAAATTCAATACTGGATTTAAAATACAAAGATATATCTGCAGTTTCTATGGATAAGTTTGTCTTGGTGAAAATGCAAAACTTGATATTTGAAGAGTTGATAGAAATCCTTAAAAGGACATATTAAGGGCTGGAGAGATGGCTCAGCAGTTAAGAGCTCTGGCTGCTCTTCCAGAGGACCTAGGTTTGATTCCCAGCACCCACACGACAGCTAACAACTGTCTGTAACTCCAGTTCCAGGGGATCCAATGCCTTCTTCTGACCTCTGTGGGCACTGCACAACACAGGTACACTTACATACATGTAAGCAATACACTCATACACATAAAATAAAAAGTAGAATATTTTTAAAGTGATACATTATATTTTGAGCTAGTATTACCTTTACATAAGATAAAAATGCAAAGAACTCCAGCAGCAGGAAAGAATATCTAGTCCCACAAAAGCTCAAGGCAGTAGAAAAATAGGAGAGCACTCTAAAACAGATGAAGATATTAAAACATAACCCTGGAAAGAAACAAATGAGTAGGAAAATAGACAAACAAGAAAATGGGGCAGAGGACATAAGAAGTAATAGAAGAAAACTTTCCAGAGCTAAAGAAGAATGTGAGTCTTAAGAGTTTCATGCTTACCAAATACCCAGTACAGCTGATGCACACAGACTTGCTGAAGTTTTGGAATTATAGTGATAAACTGAAAACTATTAAGGCTTCCAGAGAGAAAAAAGAAATAACCTGCACAAGAATGAGAAACAGACAGAAAACATATCACTGGGCACCTTAGATGCTAGAAACAAACGGGCCAGTTTCATAAAGGTTTTGCAAGAAGGCTCTCAATCCAGAACCCTGTATCCAGCCAAATTGGTGTTCAGTTCTGAGGGTAAAACAAAGGTATTTTTGATATAACAGAATTCAGGAAGTTTACTTATTTTGAACCCTCTGAAAGAATTGCTTGGTAATATATTCTAGCAATCTTCCAAATCAAACTGGAAAATGAATCATCACCTCTCTATCCAGAAGGGTGGACAAGGAGGGATCCATAGATGCATAGATGCATCCATAGATGGGCAAAGTAATAGAAGTGGGAAGGGAGTGGCAAGGTGAGTTAGAGTAAAGTCCAAAGTCTGAATCAAGAAGGAAATTTCATCATTTGTCATGATGTGATTTTTTATATTAAAACACTGAGTGTGGTCGGGCGTGGTCGTGCATGCCTTTAATCCCAGCACTTGGGAGACAGAGGCAGGTGGATCTCTATGAGTTCAAGGCCAGCCTGGTCTACATAGTGAGTTCCAGGACAGCTGGGGCTGCAGGGAGACCCTGTCTCAAAAAAGACCAAAAAAAAAAACCAAAAAACAAAAACAACTTTGAGTGTGAAGATAAATAAATATTCTATCAGGTGTGGTAGAACACACAGCACTTGGGAGGAGGGAAAGATCAAGTTTGAGACCAGCTTAAGCTACATAGAAAGACCTTGTCTCATGTCTCAAAAAAAAATCTTGTGTAGTAATGCTTTATCTAAAAGTCAAGTTTTTGAGCTGGGCATGGTGATTCAGGCCTGCAAGGTATCCCAGCACTTGCAAGGGAGAGGCAGAAGGATCAGGAGTTCAAGGGCATAGCAAGCTAGAAGGCAGCCAAGGCTACATGAGACTAGGTTTTTTTTTCAATTTTATTTATTATTTTTATTTTAGGTGTATGTGTGTATTGCCTGCATGTAAGTGCACCCGTGTTGTGCAATGCCCTCAGAGGTCAGAAGAGGCTGTTGGATCCCTTAGGACTGGAGTTAACAGTTGTTAGTTACCATGTGGGTGCTGGGATTCAAACCCAGGTCCTCTGCAAGAACAACCAGCGTTTTTAAACGCTGAGCCATCTCTCCAGCTCCTGAAACTAGGTTTTAAAAACAAACAAATATCAAATGTTTGGGCCTAGAAAGATGACTCAGTGGTTAGGAGTGCTTGCTGCTCTTCCAGAGGAGAAGTTAGGGAGATTTACAACCACCTATAAATCCTGCTCCAGGGAATCAGACACCCTCTTCTGACCTCCATTGGCACACACACGCGTACACACACACACACACACACACACACACACACAAAATAAAAACATAAATAAATCTTTTCTAAAAGAGTCAGGTTTTTGTTCAGCCCTCAGCATGCCTCTTTGCCTTCTCCCTCCATACTCCTTATTCAGAAAGGCAGTATATGAACACGCAGCCCAAACTCAGATGCTCTCAGATGTCAATGAAATGGGCCCACTGTAAACTGCTGAAAAGGAACTGCAGAGGCCAGAGAAAAAAGAAGCAAATTACTCAGTCACAAACTGCTATTCTCACTCTGCTTTTGCTTTGTTTTAAGAGTGGGTCTCCCTGTGTAGCCCAGGCTGGCCTTGAACTCACTATCTTCTTGCTTCAGCTTCCCAAGTGCTGGGATTATAGGTATACACCACCATGCCAGGCTTTGAACATAAAATCTCCCCTAACTTTAAGATGCTGATAATTAACTCACACTGTGGGAGGAGGACCACTTAGTCTTAGCTTGTGTAAACCTTTTCAAACCTTTACAATGCTCTCTCTCACTTATTGTCCCACTTTGTGAATCAACAGTGAAAATTTCCTCAAACTAAGGCCCAAACCTTTTCAAAATATACCAACCCAACAAAAAATGGTTATGGCCTAATGCAGACAAGGGCAAAAATTCATCTGTAAATTCATCTGTACAACTTCACATTTTGTCTAACAGAACTGAAGCCAAACAGCATCAGGTAATAACTTGGGAACTACTGTGGACTGTCCAATTCAGATCCACGTGACTATTTACTAAGCACTCACTGCATGCCTGTCACCAAGGACACCAAGATGAATCACACAAGGTTTCAACAGTCATGCTCCAACACAAAACAAGTATTCCCACTTAACACCTGTGCTGGGCTCTCACCTTACCTCTGATCACTTTTACTTACCTTGTTAGTTCCAGAAATGCACCATACATAAGCACTCTCCCATCTGGTCTTACAATCTTTACAGTGAAAATAGCCATATTTTGGTTCCAAAAACTGAAAATAAAGGGAAGGAGGACTCTTTCACTATTGGGGGGGAATCTAGATCCTCTTTTTCTAATTGATTTGCCTATGAAATAGAATTTATCTCTTTGGCCTCACTTTCAGCTATTCTCAACATTAATTTAACTTCTCAGCTCTTTGATGGCTCACACTGGGACTGGTCTTATGGCTATTACTCAGATTTTTCCAATCCATTTCCCACACCACTACCAACACAATCTCCCCAAATAAAAGTCTCATCTAACATTTCATTCATTTGAAGCTGTTGTCTCCTCACTGCCAACAGCAAAAGACTGGGTACTCTATCTTACCAAACACTTGGAAAAACGCACAGACCACATAAAACACATGTTCTGGAACTCCTACTCCCTCATCAAATAAAAGGCAGAAATGAGAGATTTCATAATTGGAAAAAGAAGACAAAGCCGGTGAGGGGCTGAGAAGACAGTTTAGCTGGAAGCTGGGATTCAGCGGTGGATCTAAGGCTGCATTTCTAGGTACCTGCTTCCTCTTTCTGTCCTGAGGATGTGAAGCATCTTCCTCCCCAGACTCGGGCTGTGATGGAAGTTCCCTCTGCTTGTCATTATCTGACTTTGATGTTGGTGACAGTGGCTGGCTGACCTCTGCAGGGCCTGGAAGCTCTTGGCCTTCTTTATCTTCCCCATCCTTATGGAGCTGGATCAAACCTCTTCGACCCACTGGTGGATAGACTCCCCAAGCCACCACCTTCTCCCTGGGGCCAGTTCTGTCCCAGAGGGAGTTGCTTCGCAGGGTCTGAGGCCCCAGGGAGCACTGTACTGACTTGTCCACCCGCAGGCTCACCTGCACCCCCACCTCCTTGGTGTTAGCCTTGCACAACCGTAGACTCAGGTTAGGGTTCATCTGGGTGAGAATAGCTTTAAGCTGTGCCCTCTTGTAGGGGTCCATGTAGTACTCAGAAATATTTGAGGGTACCAGAGGCCCTGGCCTGGCCAAGAAAGTGGGAGGACCCAGGTTTTGCCTCCAATTTGGCTGCTTACAGTGCCCTGACAGGCCAGAGTGACCCAAAGGCAGCATGTTCCCATAGCCCTGGTATAAACCATAAGGAACACGGACAAAGCGTTCCATTGAGTCAGTTCCCTTGTGGAGTTTGTGTTCTTATTTTGCCTTCCACCTTCATCTACCTCTTTGTCCTAGTAGAGTTAGTTCAGATTTATCCAGGCCTCTCCATTTATTTCACAGTGGAAGCTGCTGCCTATTTCCCTAATTGAAGGAGGGATCTTACCCACTTGATTCTTAATTGTTTTTCTCTACCTTTTCAATTTGCAGTCCCTGAATCTGTTCTCAAAGCTGTTTTTCATTTCTGACATCTTAACACAGGCTTTAATTAGCTATTTCATTCATTTATTCTTCTGGTTACTATTAATAGATCCTTTGTTGGCTGGTGAGAATGTTAGTATAGCTATTATGGAAAACAGTATGGAAATTTCTCAAAAATTAAACGTATGATCCAGCAATCCCACTATTTTGGTGTATACTCAAAGGAAGTGAAATCAGTACATTAAGAAACAACTGCAGGTGCTGGAGAGAGATGGCTCAGCGGTTAAGAGCACTGGCTGGTCTTGCAGAAGACCTGAGTTTGAATCCAAATACCCACACGGCAGCTAACAACCATCTGTTACTTCAGTTCTAGGGGCTCTGCCACCCTCTCTGTTCTCCTTGGGCATTGCAGGACATGGGTGCACTTACATACATGTAGGCAATACACTCATACACATAAAAATAATATTTTTTAAAAAGAGACAACTGTACTCCATGTTCACAGAATTATTTGAGTCTAACTATGGAAACAACCTAAGTGTTGACAGATTAATAAAGAGAGAAGGTGGGTGTAATGGTACATGCTTTGTAATCCCAGCACATGGTAGACTGAGACAGGAGGCTCATAAGTTTGAGGCCAGCTTGGGCTATACAGGCAGACCATCTCAAAACAAAACAAACAAACAAAAAACCCACAAAATGAAATGGATGAACATGAAAAGCATTCTGTTAAGTGCCAGACAGAAAAAAATACTACATGATTTCCTATGTAGAATCTAAAAATCTCAAGTACATAATTAGCCATGGGAGAAAGAGTGGGAAAAATGGGAAGATGTTGGTCAGAAGGTACAAGATGCAGTTATGTTGGATGAATAAGCCTAGAGTTCTAATTTGCACTATAATGACTGTAGTTAATAATACTGTACTGTATCCTGAAATTTGCTAATAGATTTCTGGTACTCTTACCATGCCACATACAATGTAACTAACTGTATGAGGATATGCATATGTTAACTGTTTGACTTGTATTCATTATTCACAATGTGTATGTGTATGCAGTGCACATTATATACAATTTTATGAAAATAACTAAAAAATAACAAATAGTACATTAGATACTATAGTACTTGGTAGTAAATAATCTGAGCAGCTGAACTAGAAGAGTATAAGAAAATATACGCTAGTAGATTTAATGAATGTAAAGTGCCCAGTACCAAGAGCAAGGAACATAGCTATGTTGGGTATGGTAATAAAGAAAATGTATTTCAGAAGGTGAACTGTGTCAAGGGCTCTCATTACTCCTAGTTAAGTGTCCCTCTCGTTCAAATTCACCAGAGGAAAAAAGCAAATTTCTCTTATTTACAGGGTAAATGCAGATTCAGAAGGTCAGTATGTATATCAAGTCAAATGGATTTTGAATCTGAATCTGAGACTCGTTGCCAAGCAAGTTAATTACCTGAGTTTATTCATTTGACAATACTGACCATTTTGTAAGACAACTATAAGAAATGTTGTTAGTAGCTATTATTAGATAATATACAGGCCTGTGTTGTTAACTAGACCTACAGCAAAAGCTTTGGTTTTCTGGATCTGGCTTGGTGGCACACACCTTTAATCCCACCCTCAGAAGGCAGGGGCAGCCAGGTCTCTATGAGTTTGAGGCCAGCCTGGTCTACATGGTGAGGCCCTGTCTCAAATAAACGAAAAATTTAGTTTTCTCTACATTAGAGAGGCCTCCTGCTACAACTAGGGATTACTGATTATCATGTAAAAATGATACCTAATGAATCAAATAAGTAGATCCTTTTCCAGTAGTATTTAGTGTAGTGATGGGGTTTTAACCCAGGGCCTTGCAAGAGCTCTGCTTACTGGGCCAAATCCCCAAGCCCGGCTCGTTCTTTTTCAAATCCAAGAAGGCCTTTTACTGTTTGTGAGCAGCTTTCACTTGTTGAAGCCAGTTGAAAGCGTTCTAAATTCAAACAACAAACCCAAATTAAGCAGTGCACTAGGCTACAGACTCGGTAAATTCAGACGTGAGGTCATGTTTCAATAGTGGAAATGAGGCTCGAAACATGGTGATCATGTCCTACAAGTGTAGAAGAGACAACCTCGGCCTGCAGAAGACCTAATTCTACAGAATGGCTTTCACAATTTTCTAAGCAAGGAAACGGGTGCACAAGTCCTGACTGGTTGCTACTGGCAACTCCCCTTCTTCCATTCCAGTACCAGGAGCCGCGGGCTAAAATCAGCCTACGCGAAGGGGCAGGACTAAGGGGGGGTCCCACCCACTTCGTGTCCCGAAGGCGCGAAGACAAACGTGAGCAGGAGGGGACGAAAAGCCGAGGGACTGAGTAGCTGGGGACCGTTGAGCACTTCGTTGGAGAACTACCGCACTCCATAACCTTTGACTCGGTCGGTGACAACTAAAGAGGAACGCCCACCGTCTCCGGGAGTAGCTAGAGGGAGCGGCGCGCCTGACTTCCGGTCGACGCTCGTATTGCGTCAAGGCGTCGCGGAGTCATGACGTGTCCAGCGGGCTTTTGGCGCGAGCTAACGACTTGAGGCGTCCGGGGTGGACCTGTCGGTGCTGAGGTTTGCTGCAGGCGCTGAGGTTCGCTGCCAGGGGAAGCCCGAGTGGGTCGATGCGGGCCGTGGGCGGCAGCGCGGAGTCGGGCAGCGCCTGCGGGTCAGTGGGGCCGGGTGAGCACGGGCGCGCTCCGGGCCGGCCTGCAGTGGGGCCTCACCTCCCGACCGGGACCCGCGTCCTCCGGCCTGGCCTCCGCCGACCTCACCGCGGCCCCGGTCGAGTTCCAGCCGTGCACCTTCGTTTCCCAGTGTGGGCCGGCCCAGCGTCACCGACGCCCTATTTGAAATTTCTTGTAATCGCTCTGTTCCAGGTGTTAGTGAATTATCGAATGGTGAATGTCTCGCACTGGAGCCCTCTAACCTCGCGCACCTAGTTAGCATAATTAAGATTGTTACAAACTCTGTTCTTGAGTTGCACCGTATTCCCTTTTCGGTGCTTATGATGAATTTAAGTTGAACAGTACAATTATAAACTGCTCCCATCCTCGTTATAAGTTAATTATTGTCTCAAAACATGGGTCTAAGGTAGGATCTCCTTAGACAAGCTTCTGATTTTACCCAAGACAGCTGATTTTATCTCAGCCACTAAAGAAAGCATCTCTGTGAAGTGTATTTTGGTTGCTCTTTTGCAGACGTACATACCAAGCATCGGAGAACTTTTGTGCAGAAAAATGCCTATTGAATACAAAAGGAAACCAACTTTTTTTGAAATTTTTAAGGAGCGATGCCGCAAAGCAGGTATTGACTTTTTTTTTTTTTTAAATAAAACTTGGTAAATTACATCGAGAGAATGTTTTCAATAAAATAATTCAAGGTGAATGCTTTCTTTAAAAACTCTGAGCTAGGTGTGTAGCTTACAATTATAATCCCAGGGAGGCTGAGGCAGGTGGATGAAAAGGAGTTCTAGGCTAGTTTGGGCTATTTGGGGGTTCCAGGATGGCCTGAGCTACAAAGACCATCAAAAAAGGGGTGGGGGAGGGTATAGTTCAGTTGTTACAGTGATTGCCTAGCATTCAAGTCCCTAGGTTTGCTCCTTAGCGCTATGCATTGTAGCAAATGCCAGTAATACTACTTCGGATGTGGAGGTAAGAGGATGAGAAATCGAAGGTCATCCTCACCTACATTTCCAGCCCAAGGCCAGTATGGAACACATGAGACCCTGTCTGTAAACTAAAAAAAGTTAAGTAACCCAATACTGAACAGTTTTCTTTGTGCTGTAAACTGTTTTTATGGAGTCATAAATCCACTTAACATAATCTTTCACCAGGTCACCAAATGATATAGAATGCCTAGTTCTACATGGTGATTAGCCCCTTGAGTTGTAGTAAGAACTGTTTGGAAAGTGCTGCTAGCAAACCAGAAGCATTGAGGACGTCAGAGGTTGTTGGACTTTTGTTTCAGTTATTCTTACATACTTGAAAATGATCTGTGTTTTCCCCCCCAAAGCTTTCCATGTTAGAAAATTAAACTAATAGCTTAAAAATTATTAGTTCAGGGGCTGGAGAGAGTAGTTAAGAGCACTGACTGCACTTGCAGAGGACCTGGGTTCAGTTCCCAGCACCCACATATTAGCAAACAACGGTCTTTAACTCCAGCTTCAGGGGATCCTTTTTGTGACCTCCGTGGACATTGCACAACACAGGTGTACTTATATACATGCAGGCAATACACTCATACACAAAAAATAAAAATAACAAAATTTTAAAAGTTATTAGTTCAAAAAATTTCTAAAACCCAAATTTATTCATGAGAAAATAGAAGTAAACCCATTACATAGTACCATAAATAGCATTTTTTTATGAAAATTATTTTCCAAAACAAAGTTTAAAGAGAATGGATTGTTTTATAATTTTGCAGTTCATTTTAATCCTTACTCAATAGACTGGGTTCTCTTACCTGCCTTTATTCATTCTGTTGTAGCATAAGTATATGAAGAAAGTCCAACTTCATGCTGCAAGGTAGTAGGGAAAAGAATTCTAACAGTATTCAGTTGCTTGTATTTTCTGTATTAGTTTTTCTTGTATTTTGGATAGATAATTCATATTGTGCATCATGCTGTACTTATTTGCAAACTATTGGCATACTGAGTTATATATATTTTTTTATTTGGTTTTTCTTTTTATTTTTTTGGTCTTTTTGAGACAGGGTCTCCTTATAGCCCCAGCTGTCCTGGACCTCACTATGTAGACTAGTCTGGCCTTGAACTCACAGAGATCCACCTACCTCTGCTTCCCGAGTGCTGGGATTAAAGGCGTGCGCCACCACGCCCGGCCCATTTATTTTTTATTTATTTATTTTTTTGGTCTATTTGAGACAGGGTCTCCCTGTAGCCACAGCTGTCCTGGACCTCACTATGTAGACCAGGCTGGCCGTGAACTCACAAATATCCGCCTGCCTCTGCCTCCCAAGTGCTGGGATTAAAGGCATGCGCCACCTCGCCCGGCTGAATTCAATATTTTAAATATTGACACAGTGTGTGAAGAAAAGTAATCCCATTCATTAATATCACTACTGATCATATCAGAGCACTCTTTTGAAACTGAGACGAACACAGCCACTGTGAGTCCCTGGAATTTGTAACTTTCATTTTGAAAGCTCACATTTTATCATTAGCAACAAGCTTTTATTTCCTTTACCATGATAAGCTCACTTCAATCATTTGTAAAAAGATGTCTACCAAACTCCACATTGGAGAATTCGGTTTGTCAGTCTTTTCAAGTAAAAAAAAAAAGGCTTTTCATAAGAAGTATTTTAGTTCTCACAGCTCAAGTGCTGTTCTAGACAATTATTGCACTTTAGTACGCAGAATGCATGTTTGCTGGTTTCTCAGAAAATAATAAAAAAAAAAGATGTGCTAAAGAATTAAGCTTGGACCTGTAGGATTGCTCTGTGGGTAAAGGCGTTTCCCATTCAGTCCCAGCATTCTGAGTCATTCCTCAGAACCCTGTTACTTGCTGAGCCATCTTGCTGGCATGATTTCAAAAGAGACAGGGTTTCTGTGTAGCTTGAGTTATCTTCAAACTTGCAGTCCTCCTGCCTCAGACCTCCTGAGAGCTAGAATTACAGGTGGTGTGTGTGTGTGTGTGTGTGTGTGTGTGTGTGTGTGTGTGTACCGTGACACATGGTGGAGGTCAAAGAACAACTTAACGATAGTTTGAATCAGACTCAAGTAGTCAGGCACAACAAGTGCAGCAAGCACCTTTACCTGCTAAGCCGTGATCTTACTGCTCATGAATTTTTCTGTGTCATTGATTAAAACTCAGATGGGATTCTTACTTTCCTTACAGATCTAGGACCCATAAGCCTTAATTGGTTTGAAGAACTTTCTTCAGAAGCTCCACTCTATAATTCGGAATCCCTAGAAGAATCTGAATATAAAACCAACAGTTATGAGCCACACCTATTTAAAACACCACAAAGGAAAGCCTTTTATCATCAGTTGGCTTCAACTCCAATAATATTCAAGGAACATGGTCAAACTCTGCCACTATACCAATCACCTTTAAAGGAATTAGGTAAATATAGATTTTATGTGGGCAAGTAATGTGCTGTGGTAAAATGGAGGGAAGTATATACTAGGAATTCAGGCAAAGCTATGTTTAAAATCTTTCCGTCATTAACTGTTTTGTTGTACAGATCAGTCTGTCTCATCTCTTTCTTGACTAAAAAATGGAACTGGTAAAAATACTTGATAGGTTTTGGTTAAATGTTTCTTTTCCTTCCTCCTTTGATATACCCTACTAACTAAGGTTTTCTGAATTGTAACTTTGATATACAAAACACCCCCTGTGACTTGGTTTGATGTTGAGCTATGTTTCTTTAAGTTATAACAGAACAGAGAAGATTTTTAAAAAATCAGTTTGCTATAAGCATCTTAATTTGATGGCAGTTTCCCTGACCTAGGTCCCACATATTTGCAACACTTATGTATTAAGGTTATGCATTCACTCACTGGAGTAATTATTCCTTACTTGACATAAGTACTTTCTTTTTCTTTAGAGAATTACTTTGTAGCAACTATATACTGATAACATGTAATATAAGGTTAAACATGTTATATACTAAAAGAAAAATACTAAAAAACACAATGACAGTTGATAAGAAAGAGAACATACTGTGTAAAGAAAGTCAGGCCCTTGGGCTTTTTATGCATGCTTTTGCCTCTGCTCTCACCTTCTTACCTTTTCTATACCTAATTTATATACTCATCTTCAAATGTCAGCTCATTTACTGCTGCTTTTCAGAAATTTTCCTGTCTACTTTCACTGAGGTTCTAGTGAAGGAGACATATAAGCTTCTAGTGAAGGAGACTCTTGGAAGTATACAACTAAAGGGAATCAAGGTAGTGAGCAGAGATTTTCTTAATGCCCTCAGATACCAGGTGGCAGACATAGTGTGCTTGGTAAGATTTTCTATAATGAGTTTTAATTTTGCTTTAGAAAGCATATTTATCTGACAGCAGTCTTTTTTTTTTAAATCTTTTTGAGACAAGGTCTCCCTGTAGCCCCAGTTGGCCTGGAACTCACTGTGTAGACCAGGCTGGTCTTGAACTCACAGAGATCCGCCTGCCTCTGCCTCCCAAGTGCTGGGACTAAAGGCATACACCACCATGCTTTGCTTACCATCAGAATTTTTAAAAAATAATTTATTGAGAATTTCATACATGTAGAATTTTTTTTTCTTTTTTCTTTTTATTTTATGTGTATGAGTGTATTGCCTGCGTGAAAGTAAGTGCACCCGTGTAGTGTAGTGCCCGTGGAGGACAGAAGGGACTGTTGGATCCCCTGGAGCTGGAGTTATGGACAGTTGTTAGCTGCCATGTGGGTGCTGGGATTTGAACCCAGGTCTTATGCAAGAACAGTCTGTTCTTAATCGCTGTGCTATCTCTCCAGCCCCAGATGCAGAATTTTTTAAATACGAATTAAAAGGGTAGACTTCAGGCCCTACTCGGAATCTTTTGCGTTAGAATCTCTGGAACTAAAGCTCTACGTTTTATTTCTTTAAACTCTTTTTTTATTTGACAGTTTCAGACATTTATATACTGAGTTTTAGTCATTTTCACCCCCCTTCCCATTCCCTTCTCTCATCCTCTCCCTCTCCCTCTCCCTGTAGAGCTCTTCTCAACAAGTCCCCTCCTACTTCCATGTCGTCTTTTTGTGTGTGGCCCAATGAGTTTAATTAGTTTCTTGCCTAAGCATGGGTGGGAGATTGTTTACTGAAGCAAGGGCAACCTATCAGTGGCTATCCCACTGAAGAAAATGACACTCCCTCTCTTCTCCCAACCATTGTTTATTTCTAACAGTCCTTCAGGAAGGGGTGGGGCCTCATGGCCCTCCCCAGCCCATAGTGAAATATTGGTGGACCCAATCTTCCATAGCAACGACTTCAGGGTGCAATGGCTGTGCCAAGTCCAAAAGATAACCTTTTTGCTGCACATCTCGCCATCCTCTGACTCTTATATTATTTCTGCCCTAAGCCCTACATTTTAAATTATCTGGGTGTAGGTGGGAAGATCAGTAGGAGATACACAATTGTTCAGGTGATAGGGGCAAGTAACCTGAATTAGTACAGTGGCCCTGGCTTACCCATTATTTTGCTTTTCTTGATTTTAGTTATCCAGGGTCATCTGTGGTCTCAAAATATTAAATGAAAAATTCCAGAAATAATTTGCATGTTTTAATTCTACCATTCTGAGCAGTGTTATGAAATCTTGCATTATTTTCTCTGGGTCATGAATCATCACTTGGTCTCGAATAGTCACATTGAAATTCATGCTACCTTCTTGTTAAGTCACTTAATAGCAGTTTCTTCAGGTATACTGTTGACTTACTTAGTATAGTGGTGTTCAAGTAACCCTTAAACACTGTCGTAATGCTAGATTATAATGTCTGCATCGTTTACTTCATTATGTCAGCGTTATGTCATTGTATATCATCATCAACACGATGAATATAGCACAAAGAAATTTTGAGGGAGAAAGACCATATAACTTTTTTTTTTTTTTTTTTGGTCTTTCTGAGACAGGGTCTCTCTGTAGCCCCAGCTGTCCTGGAACTCACTGTATAGACCACACTGGCCTTGAACTCACAGAGATCTGCCTGCCTCTGCCTCCGAGTGCTGGGATTAAAGGTGTGTGCCACCACGCCTGGTGAGTTTCAAGTTTTTAAGTACTGTTTGAGGTGATGTCCTATATAGATGTTTGGGAATGTAAGTTCCAAGCAGCTGTCTTTTTGAAAAGTAAGATCATCATCACATGACAGAAAATTATTATGAGATGCAGGATTGAGTTTTAGGGATTAACAGATGAAATACAGAGGAAGACAATAAAAAGAAAATCACCCACTCAGCAAATACTCAGTGCTTGCCTCTGTCTAGCAGCTTGCTGAGTGTTAGTGATACAAACACGAATGAGATGTCTCTAAACTTTTAGATAGTATGTTAGGGGGAAAAAATAATGTAGTGGTGTGAGAGGTTACAATAAGAGTATGTGCACAGTGTAAAATGAGTAAACGTCTATCTAATCTTGTCAGGAAGAGGTCATAAATCAGCTTTTGTTGAATCTACTGAGCCAGTTAGTCAGTGGTTAATTCTCTAATTATAACCTGCTAGAATTAGCCTGTATAGATAGGATAGAAATCAGTAAGTCCAGTCTGAACTCATGCAGACATTAACTTTAAGGTTATATGCATAAATCTGCTAATTATATTCCCTTGAGACCTTTTGCTTTTAACTTTAATGCACAATGAAGAAATGTGCTGTTTCTGCTTCTGAGTTGCCCTTTTATAAATAATTTATTTTTATTTTACGTATATGAGTGTATTGCTTTCATATGTGCCATGCCCACAAAAGTCAGAAGAGGACATTGAATGTCCCCAGAACTGGAGTTACTGATGGTTGTTAGTGGCCATGTAGGTGCCGGAAATTGAACCCAGGTCCTCTATAAGAACAGCCAGTGCTCTTAACCACTGAGTCATCTCTGCAGCCCGTAAGCTGCCCTTTTAAAAAGCCTTCTGGGTTTATCTTAATCTTCAGCTTATTTATGACATTCTCAGGTTATTTGGAAAATATTTAGTGTTTATTTGTATATTTATTTTTACCTGTTTTAGTTTTAAAAACTCTTTTTTGAAGTTTTTTTAATATCACACCTGAGTCTGTTTCATTGCTGAATCAGTATTGGTACATTATTATTAACAAAACCTTTAGTTTATATTTGGGTTTAAGCCATGTGTTGTCTAGTTCTGTGGTTTTGACAAGTGTATGTTGTCTACCTACCATTAGAGTATCATACAGAATAGTTCCACTGTCTAAACATCTCTTGTGTTCCAGCAGTTCAGCCCTTCCTTCTCTTAAACCCCTGGCAACCACTGAGTTTTTACTGTATATGCCTTTTCTAGAATTTTACTTTTTCCAGTCTTGTTTTCATGTTTGTGGGATCCATGTGGATTCAACCAACAATGGATTAAAAACGTCTTTTCAGTGAAAATGACTTTGTGAGTGTGTGTGAGCACATGAGTGTTGCATGCATGTGTGGAGGTTAGTGGACAACTTTTGGGTGTTAGTCCTCACCTTTCCACTGTGTTTGAGACAGGCTGTCTTTGCCAGTGTCTAAGCCAGCCCAGCCTAACTGGCTCTTGAACTTCTGGAGATTTACCAGTCTGCCTCACCTCACCTCACCTCTCATTTCCTGTAGATGTGCAGGGAGTTCAAAAACTTATGTCCAGTTTTTATGTGGTTTCTTGGGGACCTGAGTTTAGGTTATCAGATTTTCCTGCAAATACTTTTACCTACTGAACCATTGGAGGAAGATGGTTCATCCTGCAAATGGCTTTTTTTTTTCCTCTTCTTTCCACTTTTAGTTCATAGCATATGAACTAAAGGGTAGGTTCAGTTAGGCATTCTCATACAAGCCTGTCATACTTCACTGTAATTCATCTCCCTCCCTCAATGCCTTGTCCCTTGGCCTCCATTTGCTTGTCCTCTTCTTCCAAATAGTTTCACTCCCTTCTGCCTTAAGCCTTCTTCCTCCACTCTCATGGTTCCCTTTCTAGTCACTTTATACACACACATAAACACACACACACACACACACACACACTCACATATACAAAATCTGGATCAGCATGTAAGGAAAAATGTATTTATCTTTCTGGGTCTAGTTAAGTAGAATGATTTCCAGTTTGATCCATTTTTCTACAAATGTCATGATTTCATTTTTCTTTATAGTTGAATAAAATTCCTTTGTGTATGTACCACTTTTCTTTATCTGTTGATGGAAATTAGGTTGGTTCCATCTCTTACCTGTTGTGGGTAGTGTAGCAATAAACATGAATGTGCAAGTATCTCTGTGTTCTATTGACTTCAGTCATTCAGATATATATATACCCAAGAGTGGTATAACTGGTATGATAGTTCTATTTTCAGTTTTTTAAGGAATACCCATACTGATTTCCATGGTGGCTACACCAGCTTAAATTCCTACCAGCAATATGTAAGGATTCCTTTTCCTCATCCTCCC